GCGTGTGTGCTGTGTGCCGTGTGCACTGTGTGCTGTGTGTGGTGGGGCGTGCCGTGTGCAGTGTTGCGTGTGTGCCATGTGCACTGTGCCGTGTGCGGTGCGCTGTGTGTGGTGGGGTGTGCCTTGTGCAGTGTTGCGTGTGTGCTGTGTGTGCTGTGTGCTGTGTGCCGTGTGCACTGTGCGCTGTGTGTGGTGGGGTGTGCCTTGTGCAGTGTTGCGTGTGTGCCGTGTGCGCTGTGTGCTGTGTGGTGTGCACTGTGTGCTGTGTGTGGTGGGGCGTGCCGTGTGCAGTGTTGCGTATGCTGTGCGGTGCGTTGTGTGTGGTCTGCCGTGCACGGTGTGCAGTGCTGACCAGGCCCGGCCACGCACCTCTGCAGAGCCCTGCCCCATTTCAGCGACTGGTGTCCTCCTTGGTGAAGCTCTGCAGCCTGGCCGTGGTCAGGTCGTGCTCCGTCCCCAGGCCTCAGACTCACCTGAGAGCCTCCTGCTGCCCAGCCTCCCCAGTGCTGGGTGACCCTCCACCAAGTCCTCAGCCCCTATTGCCCACAGCCAGGCGCCCTGGGGCCAGCTAGGAAAATGTCCACTGGATGCTGGTGGCTCACACCTGTCATCCCACCCACTCAGGACCTGAGATCTGAGGATCATGGTTCACAGCCAGCCAAAAGGCCAGGAGGCTTGTCTTTGGTTGGTTGTAGGGCTTGAACTCTGGGCCTGGGTGCTGTCCCTTAGCTCTTCAGCTCAAGGCAAGTGCTCTACCACTTGAACCACAGTGCCAGTTTTCTGGTGGTTTATTGGAGATAAGAGTCTCACGGACTTTCCTACCTGGGCTGGCTTTGAACTGTGATCCTCAGATCTCAGCCTCCTGAGTAGCTAGAATTATAGGCGTGAGCCACCAGTGCCCAGCATAAATGCATTTTTTAAATGGTTATCGATGAACTACATCCCATATCTCTCTTTTGCTCAGTGGTATGTGTGCATACTATTTATGCAGTTGCATTTTGGAATCTGTCTAAGTTTTTCTGGTTTACTCAGAAAATGTGAAGAAACTTTATACAGTCCCATGGTAAAGTGCGTACCTCGCAAGCACACATGCCCTGGCTTCAGTATACATTACCTTTTTAAATTTAAATTTCAAAAATTAGTTGTACAAGGGGTTTCAACTTGACGTGCAATGTGTCTATTGTATTACCCTTAGAGATGGGAAAAGGTGCGGTAAATGAAATGTGGGTCTCTGCCCTGTGGCTTAAGGTTTGAGATTGAAGCCACCACATTGTCCACCGAGGTGCGCACAGGCCTCCGCACTTCTCCAAATTCTTATCTAGGGCTTCACAGTCTAAATTTGGGTGTTAGTTCATTCTTTCATTGTTACTCTTTCCTCCTTCTCTTGCTTCTGCTCCTTGTCTGTCTCTCTCTTCTGCTCTTCCTTCTCTTTCTCTCTCTCTTCCTTCTCTTTCTGCATTTAAATATGAAAAGCCTTTTAGAGGCTATTCAGTTTTACAATTTTAGAATGTCCTACCTCTTTGTGGTTTACAATCAATGAAAGTAACCATGTAGGTTTTTGTTTTTAAAATTAAGACTACTTTGTCGGGACAGGTTCTGGAAGGGCAGCTTACTGTACCAAGCAGGCAACGAGATGAATACTAGATTTCCAAGCAAATGTGTGCGTTGGGGTGTGCTCAGAGCAGGGGTTCCAAAGAATGGCTCTTCTGTTTATAACACACCCAATAGCAATTTGTGGTCTTTTGTGAGGAAGAAAACAAAAATGTGTGGCTTCCTAGGAATATAAATGCCCTACATGTGAAAAAGCAAGAAAAGAAAGTGTTCTTTCAGCCTAATCCTGATTTATCTGTCCAGTGAAAATTGAGCCAGATGTATTAACTCCAGTGAAGCCCTTTTCCAGCTTCAAGCCAATGCACAGGACGTTTCAGATATGGAGTGGACATGAGCTCCCATGGCACAGCGCAAGCCTGTGCCCTGTGCCCTGTGCCCACTCTGAGCTGAGGCCGTCTCAGTGCAGCACCTGTGCGGGCACAGTGAGACGGAAGCAGCGAGGCCCAGGGTCAGTGA